CGGCACTGGGCGACGCCGCCTCTGCCCTCCTGCGCGCTCACCACCGCGCCGGCCAGCCTCTCGTCCCCGCCATGCTGCACGTCCTCGACCTCGACAAATGCCCCAGGTAAGCTGCACCGCTCGCGCCAACCGCTGTCCCCGGCAATCTGCACGGCCATCGTTGAGAGGGCTATCCCTTAAACCATCTAGCTCAAAAACCTCCGATTCATTAGCTGTCAAATGCAAATATTCTGAAAGATTCAAGTAAAAATATCCTATGTCAATCTCAAGAGTTTGTCAGAATTTGCAGATAGTCCCCCTTGTTGCGAAGTCGAGCTAGAAATCCTATTTATGATACAGTTGTACATTTTGCATAGTAACCTTCATCCATTTCATGAATGTAGTGATGTACCGTAAATCCTTTCTGAACAAAAAACATGTTAGTGCGCCAAATTTGTAATGCACCGAGTATTCGATCCGACTTCTAATTTTCATTTCGTGCGGTACACAGCGTGGATCAGATAATCAAATAAATCCCCACCTCGCTCCATGACGTGGCATTCTTCAGATCTATACTGCTGGCTAGATGGCCTTCTTAGAGGCCATGATGGCCGAAACGTCAGCTCGACCGACTATGAAGCGGCTGACAGCGAAGTATCAAGTTGTAATATTTCTTTTACAACTTTCCTCTCGCAGATCCAGATACTACCACCCGTGGGTGCGCCTCAAACCCAACTACTCGTACAAAAATGTCAACTCGTCGTTGCTGGCCGAGCCGCCGTTCCTGTTGTTGGGTGAGGACGCCAGCGCCGTGGACCGCTACCTGGCGTACACGGAGCGCGTGCCGCCCAAGAGCCGGTACTTCGTCAACTTCACCCTCTTCCTCAACGTGGTGAAGCACGATGAGGCGCCGTGGATGGTGCTGACGGAACGGTCCCGTGTGCTGGTGATGCTGATGGCGAGGCGGGACCGCTCGTGCAGCCGCCGGCCGCTGCGAGAGCACCGCGCGCTGCTGTGGGCGCTGTGGCAACGCCATGGCGTCAGGGATGCGGTGAGGCCCGCTGCACAGAGCTCTGTCGACGCACGCTACTCACGAGTCGATGGATTTTGCTGCTCGACAAAGTATTCCAACTGACTATGAAATCCAGACCGTAGAAACACATGAAGTTTATTGACAGAAGTAAACATTTGCGTATTACACAAATTTCAAATGTGAAGTTTGGTTAATTGGTGATTCGGGCGCATTCGCGCTTTTCCGTAACCTGACATCCCCTACTATCAGAGCAACGCCCCATTTGGGAAAAGCTCTACGCTCATGTTAGGTCCCCCGGCAAGAGGGAAGCCCATCTCGATGGGGTTTACGACCATTTTCCCTGATCCTCGAGCAAATGCTGAGATGGCCCCTTGTTTTGCTTCTGAACATAAATGTAACTTCAAATTAACTTCTCTCCATAGAACACAGTATTTAACTGTTTTTTATGTAAATAAATAAAATACGAAAATAAATGAGAATAAAAATAAGCCGTAAATAACTGAAAAAATAGCGCCCTCAGTAAGCCACAACTTGGAACTCTGTTTTCCCTTCACGATCAGAAAGTTTCCAACGTATTTTAATAATTGACATGGGTTCCTTTCACCTACACTGACATTTTTTGAAGTGATAATTCTAAGTTTTATAGTACTCTTTCTATGTGTCGTCAACACTGAGTCTTTTTGATATGAAGGGCTCTCTCGCTGGACGTTCGCTTATACCGATGGCCTCCCAATGCGCGTTTAGTCACGCACGTGTTTCCCTCTCTCCACTCTCTATCTGGGAACAGATAAGAGTAAATAATTTCTAAGAGAGTATTGAAATGCGCACTCTGTCAATTTAGACTTCACAGATGAAATAAGATTGCCAGATGCTTCGCACACACATCCGCCGTTAGATGGATATGAAATGAAATATGACACGAAATGGAGATGGATATGATGCTGGGAAATATAATCCTGCCCTTAAGTAATTCATTTTTGACAAAAAAACACTAAATCATATATGAAGAGACAAATCGTAAGTTACCTAGAAATGGCTTACAAGAATTACGTGGGTGGGATTTGCTTATTATTCATACATGCTTATAATTCTTTTTTGTAATCTAAAAGTCTTGGAACTATAAAATGTATTTCCCCGTGGATATTATGCCACATCTCAGGCGAGAATGAACATTCTCGAAATATATGCAGTGAGCAATGTGTAGGCTGACTGAATATGAAAGAATTCTGAAAATGTAGCATAAAGAACTTAATTTAGTGTTCAATTCATTTAAATGGACGTAACATTTACAGTTCCACTGAATAGAAAAAAATATTTTTTTTACCTAAACATCAGTCAATGACTCACACAAGCTAGGTATTAGTTTACAATTTGATGGCTTATCACTTCAGAGTTCTTTTATGAAAGCACAATATCAAATTAATTAGAAAGTTGACTCATTGCTATCCAAGAAATGCTCATCGAACTACTTAGAAAACACTATGAAATTTTAAATTGGGATAAGTTTTCCATCTCTCAGGTCCTGCTAAGCCTTTAACTCATTTTCCTTATTAGAATAAAGTTTATTCCAGCATACAATACTATCTGATGCTGATATACCAGTATAGTATATTCTGGTAGAAATTTAATAAAGTAACATGGATCTTTGGTCCACGTTGTCTGGTTTGCATGTACTGCGAACGATGTCGCAAATATGTGACCTTATTTAATGTGTTTTTGAGAAGTATTTTCATTACACAAAAGATGTCACTCATAAAAATGCATCTGTTTCAGTTCCTGTATGTGGCTTTGGATGCACAATGCAAGGCGCCAGGTTTGATTCTTCATTGGGATGCCATTTCAGGGACGTTCCTGCCAGAACTAAGTGTCCAGAAACTCAAACAACTGACAGAAAATCAGGTTCGAACGGTATGACACAAGTCAGCAACGTGACCAAATGTAATGCCCGGAAATAAATAATATCAGGGTTCACAACAGCATAAACGCTCCAGTTACCAATGCACTTCTTTTCCACCTCCACTCAGAATGTAATCTGCTTTCTCAGTGACTAAGGGAAATCAAGATCAGAGAGCATAAAGTTTACATTTTGAAATACCTACTAAAAATAAATGCAATAAAACTGGTCAGCAGTATGTTACATGATTTTGGCAATATCATTCTTGGTACGTAATAAAATACAGCAAATCACAAATAAAAATAAATTTACACATCATGAAAAGCGATGATGATTATTATCATAGAATCAGTTGAATTAAAGTGGATAAATAATGAATTTGTCAGTAAGAATATGTCGGAACAAAACATTTTTATTACCAAAGATCTATCTCCGATAAGATGGTAAAAGCTTTCTCAAGAGTATTGAAAAACAACGCTTAAAACAAAAGATTCTCATAAAAAATTCCTTTAACTTCTTTACAACTTAAATCTTTCTAAGAATATACGTAAACAATTTAGTAAACTTTCCTAAATGTAAACTAGCTTTTTGCTTCCTTTTTGGACGCGAATTGGTGATCTTGGGACTACAGATACGTGCAACCCACCGGGGCTCAGTCATATTTATCAAAGGTTGGTGCACATGACTTTTACAGAGGGCGATCAGCATTTTCATGCTGAATCGTCGGAGATGAGGTGAAATGATTATGATGATGGATGAAATGGACAAACACACACAAACACAACCATGCTCGATGGGGAATTGGAATCCACAACTCTTCTGTCCAAGACCGCCACGGTACTACTGTCTTAGCGATCTCTGCTACATGAATCGGACGAATTTTTAACCAATTAATATTTCAAATGTATTTTATGAATAGTTTTCATATTATATACTTCAAATTCCTCCATTAACTTTTTAAATTTTTTAATTGAAAATTCGAATTTAAAATGAGACGTTTTGTTAATAATACAACAACATGCCAATTGTAATCAACAGTTCTTCTGCGTTCGAAACGTTTAGATCTTTTATAACATCTGCGATTTTTATGGAAAGATTTACGGTACAAGGTACGTTTCGATTTCTTTGTAAAAAAAGAGATTCTTTATTATTACTGAAAACTTTCTGGATGTATAAAGTTCAGCGGGAAATGTGGCACATATACAGTTCGTCACATGTGCCTAAGTGGATGCAGTATGCATTGAAGCTTTTGAAGCAAGACTTCTCTTCTGGTGGCAGAGTATATCGACACATTGGTCAACAGAGGCATAACGAAGAATGCAAAGCTTACTTCTTGGTGAAAGTGGTTTTGAACAGCGTTACCCTCCCTTTTGTGAGTAATACAGTGGTGAAAACTGCAACTCTGTGCATCAGGGAGGAGTCGAGCAATTAATACACTTTCACACATAAGGCGACGGCCTGCCGTGCCATGGAGCAATCTTTTCGCAGATTAGATTCGTTTTTATTGTTCAACATAATATTATTCTGAAAACATTACAGAATCACTCAAGTGAGTGACCTGAAAGTAATCATGCAAACCATTTTTAAACAACAAAAATATTAGGCCTCCTTTACCCAATAAGTTTCCAATTTTTATATTATTGAAACTCATCTTCTAAGCGCCTTCCATCACGCAAAGTTAGGTGCAGCATACTTACGATTAATGTGTAATGGGTAATGTGCTGGGTTCCGAAGAGAATGAAGTGAAGTAAATAGATGGGTACAGAGTAACGATGGGTACATCCATTGTTCACATTTTTCTGTTTATTTTAAATTTTTTATTTATCTTTTGCATTTGTATTATTTGATTGTTTCTTCTTGTTTTAAATCTTGTATGTATTGTTTCTTTTCTTGAACGTTCTTGCTTAAGTGCCACAAAGCATAATCTCATTTGTAGTAATAAATTATTACTATTATTATTATTATTGTTGTTGTTGTTGTTGTTGTTATTAAAATTCTCGTTGCGGGCCCAATGTGCTTGTGCTGCCGCAGCGACGCGGGCGGGACGTGCGCGGGATGCGGGCGCGCGTGGGCACGGCCGTGAACCTGGTGCCCATGTCGACGGACTTCAGCCAGCGGCGGCAGGCTCCCGCGCACATGCGCGCGGTGGTGCCGCGCGACCTGCGCGTGCTGGCCGCGCTCGAGCAGAGCCTGGGCCTGCGCCTCGAGCACCGCAGCCTCACGCACGGCGGCTACGTCTTCTCCAACGGCGAGCTGCCCACCTGCCTCTCGGGATTCATCGACCTGCTCTTCAACTACGTCGACTTCAACATGTTCGCGTGCATATGCATCGCCATCTTTGCTGACGAGGTAATACGTACACATCTACTTGTTATGTACAGGATGGCCAGAGAAGAAACAACGAAGCTTTGAAAATAAGCTCTAAAGTCAATTTAAAGCACATCTTCTCTAATAATGTTATTCGATGTTTTTAATTGTTAAGCGGCAATTAACACTCAAAAGTTGGTATGAAAAAATACTTTCTAGGCTGCATTTGCATTTCAGAAACATCCGACATAAACATTTCAGAAACTCCTGACACCTATATATATATATATATATATATATATATATATATATATATATATATATAATTAAATATTTACAAAATAAATTAATATTTTGTTTATAAAGACAAAATACCACAGAAATAAAGCTGTGCTTAAGCAGCCTTACCTGTTTCATGTTGTATGTGTTGTATATTGTATGTTTCATATTGTATTATTGCTTATGCGGCGATGGTTTAACGGTTAGCGTACCGGACTGTTGTACACGAGTTGGCGGGTTAAAACCCGCCGTGGATCGAAACCGTGGATTTTTTTAAGGGCGAAAAAATCCTACGTACGCCTTCCTTCGGAGGGGAAGTAAAGCCGGCTGTATTAGTAGATTTACTTGTGTGTAAAAGATCCTCAAGCATAAAAACGCATCTGAGCTAAATTCAAATAGCCTGTTTCTCGCCCAAGAAATACCTCCTTTCTCTGCTAGTTGATGAAAGGAGCGTATCGAAATGTGCGTGGTCAGACGAAAGAGTGCGCCTGATGGCCCGAGTCTCGCCACGTAAAATAAGGCAAATTCAATTCAATTCATATTTTCCACGTTAAAAAAGTTCAAAAGGTAATCATTTCCCTGCAATGTCAGCTTTGTCATCATCAGCCACGTTCGCTCCGCCGAATACCAGAAATGTGTCATCTTTCCAAAGCAGATTTCCACATCCATGTCCACCTTTTAATTTATGCGCATATTGTGTGTGTATACACACACACACATTTTCATATGACTCGGCACTATACTTCTCCAACAACATTCGCGATCAGCAATCGAAAAGCAAGGCCTTCAGTGTCCACTGGCTATGCAGTCCATACACGTTTTAAAATCAGTCTATGTGTTTTGTTTTGTGTTTTTCACAATCACTTAACACCAAAATTAAAACATCTGCCTTCGCCTTCGCATCTGCCTGCGCCTACAGAATGTTTTACGATTAATCGTTTATTTTAATAATACTATCACTTAACTCATCTCCACAGTATATTAAAATGAGAGTATTTTATTTTATCTGCATTTTATTAGTTTCTATAAATAAAACGGACGTGCTGTCTGTTTCCTTTTCATCCATTTAAAATTATAACTTACATCACACATTTTTTCGAAACTTTTGCTCCTTTTCATTTCATTCCAATACCTTAAAATTTGCGTTATTGTATATTCACTTAAAAACCTCCTCTTTATTTATTTATGCCCGACGTGCCTTTTATTCGACATAGTTCCTCAGATCCGTCTCAATGTCATATTTTCCTGTTTCTTGACTTGTTGATCATGGCAATGTCGTTCTCGATATTCTTATTTACAAATTTAAATTATTTTTTTTCCAAATCCGCGTAGATCATCTTATATGATAAAATACAAATGCAAATTTGTGTTGTTATTTTTCCGTAATACCTCTCTATTATTATTAAATATAATAGAATATAAATTTATAATATTTAATTAGTATTTTCCACTTGGGCACGTCATCGACACTCCCTTGATAATTACCCATAAATATTTACTCTCACTTGAATTACTTTCTATTATTACTTTCGTGATTGATTTGCCCTGCTCTGCTCATATATTTACTTAGAACTGAAATGTTTATTAGGTTGGCTATTTTGCCATCATGTTTGTGGGTATCGACATACAACATACTATACCTTACCTTGCTGTATGCGGACGTGCTGTCTGTTCAGGTCTGTGATTTCTAAAAGCTCTGTTGGATGCTTAATTTGTTTAATTGATGGAAACTGACTAGAAATTAACTGATCAACAAATTTTAAAAAATTGTGGATATCTTGGTATCTAACAGTTGTTCTAAGATAAGTGAAACATGCTGATCAAAATATGCAAATCATTTGTCTCTATCACCCACCGTTTTTAGATACACACTTCAACCATTTATATTTTACTAGAAAATGTTTTGTTAAATGAAGTTCTTATAAACGTGAAATTAGCTAAGAAAATAGTGAGATTGAATCACATGGCATGCATACCATATAGTGATATATATTTCAACGTATAATACATAAAATCCATACACACATCATGCTTAATCTAATGTGCATGATATGAATTTGATATGAATTTTTTGGCTAGAGGTTTGCGTTTGTGCAGAGCATTTGGCATGTCTCGCTGAAGTGTTCAGAAGTAGTGCTGCACTCCATTGGCCCTGATACATTACTTCATCACCGAGATTTCCTGGTGAAATCCGTGTTCGTCACTGTCCAAACCGTTCATAATACTGCTTTCAAAATTGTTTTAGTTTAGTCGAAGAACAATCGCCATGCATCACCCGAGGCTTATGAAGAGACCTTGAACGTCCGAACAGTAGCAAATACTGTTACTCATTGCAAAGCAATGAGTTATCGAAAATGCTTTAAAATATTACCTTAAATATAATATGCACCGTTGTACCATTTACTGTAGAGCTGTATCATTTACTACAGGGGCATTTGCTCCTCCTTAGCATCCACTACCTACCAAATGAACTGTCAACATGAGGCTGGCGTTCATACCTCAACCTTGTGGCCTCCCACGCACTCTCACGAAGGTCTCGCGACAAAAGTTGTAGAAAAATCTCGCCCCTTTTCAGGCCTTTCCAGCTTCGCTGTGGCTGCGTTGCTACCCCCGGGTGCGGCTCACTGGTCTTGCGACACATCTGGCGTAAGGATGGCACGTACCCTCTGAAACTGCACCCCTAGGGCTCGGTCTCGGCCGCTTCCTGCCATTGTCGTCCATTCCACACGTGTCAATGAGTCCCCGCCACCTGTTGTGCACCACACGGCTGCGAGCTGTGTAGCGGACGCGACATCCGCAGCCTTTCTGACACCTTTCGCTGGATAATATTCCTGCGTTGTTCGTGCCCTTTGCGCAGGTTGACACCATCGCCACCGCCACTCCCGACGCCGACGCTGAGTTGCTCGTGCCCAGAGCCCAAGTGCTGCCAGTGTGGTCCGTCCTTTTCCGATGCTTCAGCACTGAACTATGGTTGGCGATTGCAGCTACCTACCTTACCACCGCGCTCGCCTGGTATATTTCATCCCGTTCCTTCCGTAGGTAAGCAAGTTCATTATAATTATGACCTTTTCAAATTTATTCATGACAAATCACAATATCTCTTCACATCATTAAATTTTGCCATTACTCGGAACGTATTTCAATTTTGTTAATTTTCATTTATTTCCATTTTATTTTATTTCGTTCTTTTCTGGTTTATAATGATAGCCGTTTCCGAGTTTCTTTAAAACCTGCTTATTGAAGATGGACAAATAATTCCGTGTTTGCTTTAGGATTACTGAAATGTATTTACATGTTTTACCTTTTCAATAATTATTTCCTTTTTCCTTCAATCTAAAATGATGAAATTTCACAACGTTTTGCATGAAATCATTGACAGTATTTTAATATTATCTTCCTGTAATTCACGTTTCAATATAAATGGAAAATATGGTGTGGAAAAATACATAAAAACACAATTTTACAATACATAAATATTAGTAAAAACGTTTTCCATACTTTAAACTCCTAGAGTTTACAAGCGATATGCAGAACACTGACGTTCTTTCCTTCCTCTTTATTGCCCAGCCCCTCCCTTACATGCAGGCACAAACTAATACTCTATCACACATGTCGAGAGGCCAGTCGGCAGTTTGGAGCTTAAAGCGGGTGGGGCGGTGCCTTGTTGGGAGAGATACCTGCAAGCCGACGTTTAGGATGGGCCGTCTGTCTCGTTTTAGTGGGGAAGGAACATCCCCACTTATCGGGATACAACATGCGCTACACTTAAGGGGATAATGACGTGATTAGTAGCAGTTGACGCGCTTTGGATTAAAAAATAATCAATCAACGAATGTACATGAATGCTTTGTATAATTTTAATTGTCTCCTTTTCTAAGTTGGTATACGACAAAGTAACACATTACAAGAGTATTACGGATGCTTATAACAAAAACATGAGGACAGATATTTTCCTAATGATATTGAATCACCTTCCCACTCTTGACGCCCGACTTCTTCATATACTTTGCAGTGGTCTCTGGTCTAGCCTAACAGACATGCTTGCTGTATTTGTGGGAGCTGGGTGGAACGGCTTGCCCTTGGCTCGGGACTCCCTGCGGCGCCTCTTACTCATTCCGGTGTTGCTGGGAGTGAGCGTGGTGGTCCTCAGCGCCCTGCAGGTGAGTGCAACTCTATCCATATTCAACAAACCCAAATCTGTTCTAAAACAGGGCTTATTAAACGATTTTATCAAGTGAAAAACATTAAATAAGTCGTACAAACATATTATGTTGAAGTTGCTTGGCGCACTCTCTACTATTAAACACTCTAGAAGTTCGACAATCAAGCATTCGCAAATAAAAAAAAACCATTGTATATCCAAAACAGTAGTTTTCATTGAGGTGGGTCATTTATGATTGCTTTTATGGTTTACCACTGATGGTGAAATAATTTCTCCACATCGGTCAATTTCTAAACTTGGTATACGCCAGTCCAGCCTTAAAATTGTAGTCCACACACTGATAAGTGACAGGCAGTGAAGGGTAGTTAAACAACACCCTCTTAAGAATGTTTCAAAGTGTACGGTCTCATCAGATACGCAATCAGCCTATGATGCTATGGGCTTGGACTCTGTTTGCCGTGGAATCATTCTGGCCGAAGACACTCAATATTCACTTTGGGCTTCGTCCATCAGTGGCGTTGCGATGTTGCACCGAGAGAGCCTTGCCGTCAAAGAGTACCACTTAACGGCAGTTGGAAATGAAGCAGTTCTGCTCATCGACTTGAGTGTTATAATGTTGAGGCTCATTCTTAGTGAAAATAAAAGAGTAAACGTGCAGAAACATGAACGCAATATCTTGGTGCTCTATAATTTGGTGCAAATAACTACAATGGTATTTTTTTCGTGAATGTCAAGTTTATATGTAGTAATCGCGTCAAAGGAGTCACGTTCACATGAACGTGATTCGAGAATAACACACTACCGTTTTCGTAGAAAGGAGCCAATAGAGTTTATAACTATTTCGGTGATTCTTGACTCTAGCTAGACCACTAAATCGATTTCAAATACTGTTTGGAGGAGAATTCTAGCGTCCGGCTGCTCTGATGGATAGTTTTCTCCAACAAACACTCCATCAACACCTCAATCAACACCAGGCGAACGCCGGAGTAGTACCTCCGTTCAGCATCACAGACGAACCACGGAATTGAAATTAAAATGAGGTGTGATTATTAACATTGAACTTTTTAATTTGGCGTATTAAACAATAATTAATTTAATGAGATACTCACTAGAATTGCTCTCCTGAAAAAACGAAACTTGAATGTGTCTGCGCAGGGTCGTTTGTTCAAGCTGATGGCCAGCCCCCCCCGCGGGCTCGACCTGCAGACTCTGGAGGACGTGGCGGACCACAACCTGCCTCTGCTCACGCAAGGCCGCGTCCAACAGGACCTCATGGATATGAAGACGGAGCTGTCGGCGCGCCTGCTGAAACTGCTGGTGGTGAACTCCGATTACTACCCGGAGCACCTGCTGATGGCGATCGCTAAGGGCGAGCAGCACGTGGGGCTGGTGTCCGCGACCCTCAACTCGCGCATAATGGAGGGCGCCTACCCCACCGCCTTCTCGCACTTCCGGCGCCTGCTGCTGGTGCGAGACATGGAGGCGTACGCCGTGAAGCGCGGCTCGCTGCTCACCCCGTTGATAGAAAAGGTACGCGCGGACAGCCCCACTTCACACGACCTTTTCCAATCACTCAGCAGGGAAGGAGATGGAATGTGCGCCGTAGAGGCGGGTAAATAACAACAACAATAATAATAGTAATAGTAATAGTAAAATTCGATGATGGAACATCAGAGACTTCACTATCTTCATAGTTGCACCATATTCTATGGTGCATTATCATAGACCACATCTTGTAATAACTTTCAAGAGACCAAAACTAAGTTTCTTATTGTTGCAGCCCCTTATAACAGGAACATGCAAAAGATATTCGGTTGAAAACTGTAAGCAAAGCGATCTAGCATATCAAATTAAAGTATAGGGGAAGCAGGACTAGGTATTCATTTTCCCAATCAATATCCCCAGTACCGTTCTTATAGAAAGATATGTCAGAGAAAATTGATATCCCCCCAAAACGTTTTATATGGATGCAGAAGTCTGTTATCGTGAATACTTGCCACATTATCAGAAACTTTCTAAAATCAGATATAACAAACAAATTTGCTCAACAACTGTTGTTATTTGAGAACCCGTTCACCCTATGAACCAGAAATGTAGTCATTCAGAATATTATAATTACAAAATCAACCTCGCCTCGATCGGGGCCGATATTATAATGACTATTCCACTCGTGGAATTAAAATCAATAGTGCTTAACTGTACATACATGGATCGTTCTGAAGGAAATGTCTCCCATTTGTATTTGTATGATAACTATAGCAAATAGAAAGACAAACCTAATTTAATGTGTTAGAACGGACTTTTTGAACACAACACTATTTTTCAATTTATTCCCCTATTTTCTCTAAGTATTTATCCACCGTTGAAGAAAAGCGTGCATGCGGCACTGGTAAAAATCTGTATCAGCCCAAGTGATCCATTCGGGGAATTCGTATGGCGTCTTTCAATGGATTATGTTTTTATTTCTGGCTCATAATGTATCCTCAGCAGTGATTATTTGATCTAGATCTAGCAATCTCCAGCTTCGTATTGGATCAAAAGCTCCTCATAAATTTCCATGCCGTGCTGTTTGTGTTCCTGTGTGAGTGATTGCGGGATCCACCTTGCGCACACTTTTCGGAAACTCAATTTACTCAGCATTATGTCTAATGCACTGCAGCCAATGTTCAGTGCCGTAAGCACAGTCTCGGCACCGTCAACAGTCCCCCACCCAGCAGCAGATGTGGCAGCAGCGTGGCATGCGTGGACGACAGCGACGTGGTTTGTCTTTCACGTTACCGTAACCCCCACTGAAACTCACTACCGATCGTCGCTACACTGTAGTGACATCCACATTATGTTTCCCTAAAAGTTCAGCAAGTGACTGTGGATGTCAATACTGTGGATGTGCAATTTCCTCTGAACTGAGAAATTCCGTCATACATCTCTGCTTCTGACGCGCGTTCCAGCTAGACGCCATTTTATCGTACTGCAACAGTGCTTCTATCTGACAAATAGCCACGAAATTAAGCGAACATTAACGGGAACTCATCTCATCTTAGGAGACGGTGTGTCTCGATCGCTACCCTAAGCCGCGTATGTACTATAATACAACCTCTATGATTTTAACAAAGCTTTCTGTAATTTATAATATTTGGTAAATTTTTGAATTCTTTTGGACGTAATTTCATTTGTTGAATAGTTCTCTTAAATTTCATTCCTGCTTTGGAAATCCTCAGATAAATCCCCTTGTCGCTTCGCGAGTCCGGGATTTATCGACAATTTCCTAATCAAACGTGATTATGATAATTTTTTGGTATCGGCGACCCACCGTACTTAACTTTTCTGTCGAGAATTCCTCGTTTTCGCTGCAGCATTATAGTTACCTATCCTTCGTAAGCAGTAAGCGAGTACGTCAAACGCTTGAAGGTAATGGAGCCCCTGAACAAGGCGGGGCTGATACTATTACGATACTTTTTCGGTATCAGATATCCAACCACAGTAATCTATTCTGTCGAAAATTGCCAGGCTTTTTTGCGCCGGCATTATAATTCCCCGTCCTCCGTGCGTAGTCCTCGAGATTGCCAATCGCTTGCAGGTGATGGCGCACCTGAACGAGGCGGGGCTGATCCGGCGCTGGCACGAGGAGACGCTGCGCAACGTGATTGCGCTGTACGCGCTGTGCGAGGGCAACGCGTCGCTGGAGGCCGGCGTGCTGCCGCTGGAGGCCGACGAGGAGACGCGCCCGTTCGTGCTGTGGGACTTGGCCGTGGCGTTCGGCGCGCTGGCCGTGGGTGTGGCGCTAAGCGCCGTCGCGTTGGCGGCCGAAGCGGCAGGAGGCCGGCGCCGGCGCCGACGACAGCAGCTGGTGCAGCAGTGGCGCGCATAGGCACCGCGTGTCAACTATCTAGAATATCCTACATAGAGCTGGCCGGGCTTAGTTTAAATCCTCTTAGTCAGTGATCTCATGACCAAATTCCAATTCATTAAAAACAAAATTATTTAAAAAAACAAAATCATATTGAGTATGGAGAATGAGTTTAGAAACAAAAGGACATGTTGCTTCTTGCATTGATTATTGTTATAGGAATGGAATCTATTGAAATGGAGTTGGAATAGGAAGAATGGAATCCACGAAATTGGAGTTAGAATAACGGCAGAAAGTAATTGTTATTGCAATAAGAAGCAAAGACATCATTAATAAGGCGCTAAACTTGAAAAATGATATATTTGTGGTTTGATTACTTCTGTGTTTACAGTTACATGCAGAAAATACTGTAGGTATTGTGAATATTGTCCTAACCACTAATATAATTTAAATACAAATAAACAAAAAGTCAACAATACAGAAATCATCTCTGGTACAAACATCCAGACGATTCAGTACAACACTTACTGGGAGAAGTGGCTCAAGGCACAACTGATGTCACTGCAGTCCCTGTGACCGGCAGGTCCTAGGTTCGATATATGACGTGCAGGGTTTTGGCAAGATATTCGACACTACCTTGTCAGTTGCTAGTGTCTCTGTCTGGAGGAGAATTCAAGCGGTCGGCTGCTCTGATCGGTAGTTTTCCGTGGTTTCTCCGATCAACATCAGGTGAATGCCGAAGATGTACCCTACCAAACGGGCCACGGACCGCACGCGATCTTTCCTATCTCTTCCTTGTCCTATCCTCTCTCCTTACGTATACACACACTAACACACACTACACTACCACACATGTCGGGAGAACATTCGGGAGCTGCGAGCTTGTCCCGGTTGGGGCGGTGCCTCGCTTGTGAGAGATACCTGGTTAGGAAAAACTCCGCTTGCAGGCGGTACGTCGGCGTCGAATCTTGCCGTATAGTGAGGGAAAGATAACCGCCACCTCACGAGAAAAATACATACACTACCAGGGACTAATGACCCTGGTAGTTTTTGTACCCGGAATCACTAAAACAATTAGTACAACAGTTCCACACGTCACCATCAGCCCTCTCATGTTTTTACGGAAAAAACAAGGAGGTCCGTAGTTTGTGGAGCATCAACCAACAGCGCTGAAACAATAGATTCTGCTACAAGTGATAAAAAAACATTCTGAAAATGGCTTTAAGTACCAATTTTCAGCAAAAAATATCACGCTAAAAGTGTAATTGAAATAAATGATGTACTATTTTTTAAAGAAATGATTCATATGTTTCAATTACTTGCAAGAAGGTAATTATTTTGCTATCTGTCTGCGTTTAAAATTCCCGCTAATTTTCTGTCGCAAACTGTTGCCTGAAGCTTGTTGGCTTAAGTCGGATACGATGTGTAATACCGCTCCCATCTCTTTCCACCATGCATCTATGTTTATTTTTGTAATCGATGTATTCATTTCTTCGATTCCAAACCATCGATGCTTTTGAACATTGACTTCAAATTTTAAATATACATGTTCAAAATACATCGATCTAAAGCCATCTATATTTTTAAACCTTTATGTTTTAAAAACGATATTAGTTACTAATAATTAGTTACTAACAAGTATTCTCATGGCACCGGCTTAGACTTATTTATTTGTTATTTAAGGTCGCAATCAACTTCTAGGTCATTAGCGACCACTATTGCTTGTAATGGTGCGATAACTGTAAGAATGAGACGATATAATGATGATAGGGGGTGAAAGGGCGAACACAATACAGCCATGCCCGAGGCTGGACTCGAACCCTCTATCCTTCGTTCCGAGATTGCTACGGCACTACTGCCTTAGCGATCTCGGCCATCCAGACCGGCTGTAAAAATAATGTGACGTGGGAGGAAAAGATTATCTGCGCATGTTTTCTTGAGTTCCAGAATCCCTTTCTGTCATTTTAATTATAAATAGTTGAAAGATGAGTAAAAGTATAACATAAATAAATAAAAATAAATTTTAAAAATCGCTATATTAGCAACATTTGAAAAATACTCACGGTTCGATTTCATCTTTGCGGTCGTATTTATTAACTTATAATTGAATAATTAAGTACATTTATCGACAATAATTGGACTAACTTTTTTTTTCAATCTTCGTAATTTTAGCCTGAAAAATATTCAATTGATGATTATCTAATCATTATTATAATTTCTGAGTATTATACTTTTTTGGAAAATAAAATATTAGCCATATAATAACACAGCGCACAAAACATCGCATTCAATAAATCAATGATCTGTTTTTGTAAAAATATTGATGTATTGAAAATTTCGATGACGCTAGATACTCGGCCCAGAGCGATTCAGTAGACGTGCACTAAGCAACGTGATGAACACAAATGTACTTCAAAATAACAGTTTATTCCCTCAGTGTGGCATCTCCGACGCTTTAATACGTTTTAAAATATTTTCATATTGATTAATTTGAGGGTTTTATTTAGAAAAGGATGCAAAAACGCTGCTTCCCCACCAGCAGATCGAGACGAGACGTGACCAGCGACACCTTGCTTACTCGAACGGTGGACCAGAATGGAAATATAGAAATTTCTTCCGTCAAAATAACTCACCTGTTATTCTAAGTTTGTGCATTAAGAATCAATTCTCCGACGTAGCACATACACATGTTGGTAGTTTATAAATAATGTATTTGAATCATGAAATAAAATTAGCAATATTTTTGTCTAATAATATTTACATGTATTCAGAATGTTTGTACTACAGTAATTTTAATATGTCAATAAAATAAAGTTTAAACTTCATGAATTTCACCCTTAGCTTCGTGGACTATCGTCACTAATCTCTACCGGCTTGGGTGGCTCAGGGCCTCAACTGATGTCACTGCGGTGTCTGTGACCGGGAGGTCCTAGGGTTCCAGTCCCGAGGGCACGCGGCAGGATTTTAGACACTAGCTAGATAGCTTAGGTAGAGTTCAGCTCTTGTCCGGAGTATTCTAGCAGCCAGCTGCTCAGAGCCGTAGTTTCGTCGATCCGTATCAGCCAATCCAGAGCTTAGTGCTTTGCGCGGCTACGGCGTTGCAGCGATGGAGGGAGATACCTGGTTGTGGGAAAGTATCCCGCAAGTCGATGTAGTTTGGCGTTGGATCTCACCATCCAGGGTCTAATGACCTTAACAGTTGACACACCGGGAAATCGTAATCAATCAATCTCCAAATTTGATGCACGTTTGGCAATGAAAGAAAAGGGGTCCCATTTGAACCTCCTAAAACGGGACCCGGAGAACGCATACCTCTGACACTGAGGTCTACACTGATTGTATACAAAGATCTGCAAGTAAAAAACTGCATATGATTTTTATGCATTTTCTTGAAGAGGTAAAAAGGAAAAAAGTACCAAATATTTTCCATCTCGTCATTTTTTGCTACTCTCAATTTTTATTTTTTGTTAACGTAGAATTCCTATTTATATATTTAAACTATTGTGTTCTATATTTGTTTAAAAAATGGCTTAGAAACGAAGATTTGTAACATTAATTCTATCATTTATAGCTGAACTTGGCAATAAACGAAAAAAAAAGTTAATGGTTGAAGAGAGTAGTGGTGGGGGCTGGTAGATAAAGAAGTTTAAGAGTAAACACAAAGGTCGCATGATCGGGTCGAAACGGGTTAAAAGTTGAATTGAGTAATATCAGCATTTTTAGTCTTCGTTATTTGAAGTAATGGGAATAAATATAAACAATATGTTGTTGGATTGTATCGTTTCTACAAGCAAATGAAGTTCAATCTTATACCATACTCAGTTTATATTCAGCGTTAAAAGAATATTGTATTTGTTATATTATTTTTAAAATATGGCTTGCACAGGTTATGTAATTTGGCCTGACAGCGTCTGTTATATACTCGTATGAGGCGAATACGTAGTAAAACGTCAACAAAGAAACGTTAGTGAGGTTTTTGAGAAATCTTATTTTGCGTACATAGTCTCCGCACAAGGTGAATAGAAGATGCGAGAAAGACCTTTATTTTTGGTTTAAGGATGAGAAAAACCCATTTGGTTTTTGCGTTCCTATGATATGGAGTGAACACAAAAATCATTCAACCGACTGCTACTTCTGTTCGGTAGATGTGAAAAGATTTTAAAAAAATCTTACCCTAACCCTGACTGAGCTCTTCATCCAGTGTCTCATGGTTCTGAAATATGAATTCCACAGTCACCTTCTAATTTAGGTGACATACTGAGTGAGTCAAAGAACTCAGACGCATTTCTCAAAACGAATGTAGTTCAGATTTTTATGTTGATGAGGGGCCTCATCTTCTTTCTCAGAGTGAGATCAACGATCTAGTTAGAAACTGAGGTCTTTCAAAAGTTCCAGCTGAATTATTACGATCAAGGTTAAGAAAACAAAAACCTATCTTCTGGGACCTCTTTTTTGTGGTACTGGCGTCAACAGAAAGAATGTACTCAATTTCTCTCCAGAGAGGGAAATATGGTTTGTTGTAATGATTTGTTTGTTGGCTACGATTCTTCAGAAAATCAAATATGAAGAGCATAAATTGATGTTTTGTCGAGATTTAAAAATACTAACCATGTTGTTGGGTCAACAGGGAGACTATATAAAATATCATTGCTTTCTTTGTTTATTTTAAGCCGCACATCTGCAATGAACAAAAACTGAATGACCTTCTTTAGACAGTTTAACCCTCAGAGAAAAGAACGTTATCAATACAACTTTGAAAAACGTACTATTACCACCTCATCATATTAAATTGGGGCCTATAATTGTTATCAGACTACATGTTATCAGACTACTGTTGAATGCTAAATCGAGAAACCAAAGTTGGAAACCGGAAACGAATTAGAAGTATCAAAGAAAAAAAGAAAAGGTTTCGCAAGAAGAAGAGATAAATTATATGTAAATATGAAACATTTTTTTGATTACTTGAAAGAAAATAAATATATTTACTGTAAAAAATAAGTGTTTTATTAAATACTTGTTTTATTTTGTAAAAGTTACACGTGTATACATGAGGGAATATTTGGGAAGTAATTTCTAAAATCTGTGACCGTTAAAATATATAATTCAGAAAAAATACCACTTGCAGTTTTTTCTTTTTACTTTTTTTTGTTGCAAACCTGTGAATTTGTTTGCTGAGAAAGTTGGTTAATTTCAATGACGTTGTCACCAATACTGTCATATGCCCTTAAAAGAAACTTTTAAGGAAGAGTTACCAGAATTAATTGAAAATTTAAGTAAGTCTAAAATGTTTAGAAGAAATAAATAAATTATAAGAACAGTGTTTTGAAATTCCAATGAACATTATACTTGCATAAGTATAAATAACTTCAAACTAACTTAGCAAATAACAAAAAGTCCAAAATGTAGGCAAGTCTTAAGTTCCTTTCGAATATAAGAGAAAATTTCCCGGCTGGTTGGTCGAGGTCCAGTTGGCGAAACGTTTC